TTTCGTTTCGTTTCCTTTTTTTCTTTTCTTTTTTCCTTTTTCAGTTATGCTCTTATCTCTTCTTTCCTTGGTTCCTCTATTTCTTTGTTATTGACTCTTTCATTCTCCCATTTGTTCATTGGATAAGCATTACAAAAGCAAATCCTTTCAATAAATAATATTCAATAGCACCACCATACCTTTTACCGTTGCCCTGCTGTAATGGGGAACAGGATCGTGATCTGAACCAGGTAAATATATTCCCCATCGAAACCAGATTGTTGCATTTCTCTTGGCACAGCAAGTATACTTAAAATCTTGTCCAATGTGCAGCTGCCTTTTGAAGAATCTAGGGATGCCTAGTCACGAAAAATGGATATATATTTAGAAAGAAAGAAATATAAAGATAACATACCCTACATATAAATCATACAAATAAGCATTATAGCACACAAATCATTCACAATTGTACAAAAGTGAGAAGACAGTTACACCATATAATGGTAGGAACAAAATAGAAAATACAAACTAGGGATCAAATTATTTCAAAGCAAAATTAAACCGTTGTAACTATCTCAATATCTTGAAGGTTGATTGGTATTTTTTTGACATTACCTTGTTGGTCTAATTAGTTTCAATATACACTTATTCCAATACAGTTAGTTAACAAAAACCTAGAAAGCTGTGGTCGCTGAGAATCATGGGAAATATTTCATATTCAACAAGTAAAGGTTTCGACACAAACAGTAGCAGTTGAGGATGCTCAGAGGAAGTGAAACTGTAACTGGTAAAAGATCTCGAGTCCATCAACAGTTATCAAGCGGTTGAAACATGTAAAATGTATCTACCCATAATCCTTGCAGGTCTTAGCTTCGTAGCTTTTCAGGTGACTAACTTTATTGAAATAAGTGTATATACATTCGATTTCAGAAAGGTTGTACATTTATTCATATATACAAATATCTATTGAGATGCAAAATTGGAAAAACTTCTAAAATATGATCGTGTATGAATTGAAAGTAAACAAAAATACTTGTATGCCTTACTCTGATGCAAGACAAGTCAAACACATAAGTATCCAAGTATCGGATATTAATAAATTATATTTATTCATGTATTTTCACTTCGTAAGCTTAAAATTATCTAATATATATCTAATGATACCCCATTGCGCTCAAATCCTTTATTTTATATTCTTTATAGAGAAATAAAATCTCGAAAAAAACTTTTTTTGAAGCATAAATGAACTCCTGACAATCAAATTTTGATTTTGTAAAGATATGAAATTATATTAATATTAATATATTTGTAAATAATTTTCTCTCGCTCTCTCTACAATATATGAATACATTAATAGTATCTCRTATATAAAAAGTACTACCTAAAACCAAATTCACTGGGAAAGTGGATGTGATGGTTGTGCGGTTGTGCCATTTTGTTAATATTAAGACAGAAGTACAAAAATTGCAGAGTGCAATATGTAGCTATAATTGCATTATCAAGTTACCTTGTTCATTGCTCTGAGACGAAAGATGAATAAAGGAAATTAGTACAATTGGCAGGGCATGGATGGATGTTGGTATATAGGAATGGAAACCTGCTAACCTAGAAATAAAATCAAAACCATGCAAAACAAGAATCAGAGTCAACTACATCCATCTCACAATCCCAATAAATATAACATAAGTATAGCAAAAAACAAAAACAAATAAAACATGATATAAAGTATAATGTAAATAGAACGTATTTCTTTAAATTTAACTCTTAAATTTTTTTATCATTCTTTGTTAATATCATAGTATTATTATAACATCTTAAATAGTAAAATACTGTGAGGAAAATGATTACAAATGGTTATGAATTTAAAAAATGAAGCCAACTGATCCAATTTTTAAAAATAAACAGCGATATGTGTGAAAGTCCTTCGGTATAAACATACCTTTTTCTTAAGAAAACCTAGTTCAGAAATTTCAATGTTTGCAGTTGACAGTTGTGGACCCTACGTTGTCAATCAAATGCATTTAAGATAAATTCATCATAAAGTGAAAGCACTCTATTAAACGATTTTTTTTTTATTCGTCTGCCGATAAAACGATGTATATTTGTCTAACCGCCCGAATACCAGCATTCTAGAGAGGCACGTGCAAAATAGCATGATTTATCTAAGTAACACGTAATCGTCTAAATGCCTAACGTAACGGATTTATTGGCTGTATTATTCTCAACGAATAGTTTACTTGTCTTTAATCAGAAAAAAATAGTGTAAGGCGAAGGACGAAGGCGAAAATATACAAAGATATAGCTTGGGATCGACTGCTTGAGTTCTTAAGATGTCATACTATTTTAGGTTTTTCTTAGACTACTTCAAACAAAATTTGTTGTCATCAATTACCTTACACAAACAAATTATATTTAAAAGTGACAGATGTTGCAAAGTACAGTTGTTTAAATTCTCCTTACCCGGTAAAAAGTGGTCTAATCATCTCACAGTTCATCATACAAAATTCACACATGTAATATGTAAGTCAACTATAGTAAAAAGAAATGTTAAATGGTTTGACTACGCGGCGTAGGAGCTGACGCCATCTTGCACTGACGCACGTGATTGAGCTATATATATACATACATATACATGAGCTAAATATATGCATAAATTATAGTTAAAAAGCACAGCAGGCCAAAACATAGTAACACACAAACACAAGGATGATGAGAGAAGCGTATGTTAAAAGCATACGAACAGCAAACTATTAAAATAGAATTACACAAGCTGCCTGTATTTTTTCCTTCATAAAGCCCATTATTCTATATCCATATCAATAAGACACTGAGCTGTTTTGATATCATTCCTCGCACTGATCTAAGCATCATCATCTTCGATACCCGCCAGGATAAACTAAAAATAGAAGAATAGCTAAAATCCTGTACCGGAACAGATGGTCTAAGCTGATAGTGAGTTTCAAAGTCCAATATGATGAACATGAGGCTGACTCCTTGCGACATTAACTTTCACTAACTGTTCTATTAACATTGCTTTCCATCAATTTTATTTGCAAACATCTTGTTGAAACAAGTGTCTTTGGACTAAAAATAAATACAAAAAGTTTTTACACTTAGACCAAATTGTTGGTATAGTTCTGATTTATGACTGAGTATTGTTATGACGAACTTTCAAAGACACCTCTGTTAATTCCGGGTCACTGATAATAGAAACGAGCCGCGCGCGTAGTTTAGTTGGAACTATGCCATGATCTATTTTGCAAAGCATGCGCTTTTTTTTTTTTGCCGAGTATGCATTTATTCTCGGCATGTTGAAAGAAACTAATATCATGAAAATTCCTTTAGCAATGGCGAAGACGACTTCGATCGCTCTTTTAGCGTTATCAGTAGTCATTCAAGGACTTCGAAGTACGTTTAAATATTTGAATTTTGAATTTTGATTTTGATTAGTTGGCTTTTATTCATTTTCACAGTGTAAGGGAGAGGGGTGGTTGTGAATTATTTATTACATGAATTTCCCTTTTTTTCGAAGTTTCAGGAAACATATTACACCCAAAGGAAATCGTAGTGGAAACTGGGGAAAATGCTATCTTTAACTTCTCAACAAAGAATGGGAACCCGATTCTTGCGGCTCAGTTCGGTTTGAAGGGAGAAGGAGAATACCTTAAGGCAAAATTTATCATCGTGACTCAGTTACATGGCATAGAGTGTGGCAAAGATTTCAATTCTTCCGAAGGATATCGTTATAGAAACCGAATTTTTTTCGTTGGAAACATTACGGCAGGCCGTGCCTGGTTTAAGATTACAAACGTGGAAGAAAATGACACAAATACTTATCAAGTGGGAGTTCGTGAAAACACCGACGTGTACAAAATGTACACTGTGAAATTAGTGGTGAAAAGGAAAACTGGTACGTAAACAATAGTTTAACAATGACGTGATCTTCCGTTGTCTTCTTCCTGGTGCGAGAGAATTCATGGAGCAAAACATAT